AAAATGTAACGGGATACCAGTGAGTCAGCGGCCATTCCACTCAAGCCTGACATGGTGCCATAAAAATACAGTCCTGAGAAGAAATTGATGCTGTCACAAAACCTTAAACTGGAGTTGTAAACATTATACAACAAATTCTATACGCTCGGTGGGAGGTGAATATGCTGTAATGGGTTTGCTACGAAGGGGCTTGAGGGCTGGGGTCTTTAATGGCCTTCAGGTGACCAGGACAGAGAAGAACACAGCAGTCCTAGCCTCAGGGCTGACTTCATTCTTAGGAGCTTTGCCATCTTCAGCACATGAGTGAAACTCGAGGAGCACTGTCTTCTCATCCTCAGAATGAGTTCCAATGAGATCAAGACCATTAAGGCAATTTGTAGATGAAAACAGCCCATGAAATATTGATTTATTTTTATTTGTGAAGAATCTAAGGCAACTATTTGGAAAAGGACTTTTCTCATTTTCTGAAGCTCTTTGTCACCTATAACCAGTTCTGTGTTAGCGATGGCTCCTAAGAGCACAGCTGGGGGCAAGGGCCACTTTCGGGACCCCAGGGGTATTGTGATGGGCTTGGTGTCTCCTAAGAACAGCAGAGTTTTCCCCTTTTGGATACCAGCTGAAAAGAATATTTGTAAATTCACCTAGAGGTGAGGCAGTCACAGGGACGATGGCTGCGGGGGACAGAATGCGTGGTGCAGGTGGCAGAGGCCCGGCTTCCGGAGTCATTGCCCCACCCTCAGAGGCATCTGGTCCACCAAGCAAAGCCTGCAGCATCTGTTTACCAGCCCCCCTCCCCCTGAAGGAACCACAAAGACACCCGTGCCAGGTCCGCTTCACAAGGCGTTGCCTCAGGGGCCTTCTCTCTGGACCCTGTGCACAGCCGGCCCCTCAGGAACTGCGTGGCACTTCTCTCAGCTCGGGTGGATACTGGCCAAGAGACTGCAGAGAGAATGCAGTGGAATCTTCGCTTGCCGACTCGGGTTCATTTAACACAGAGCACCCCCTTTCGGTCTTCTCAGTTGTTCAACCCTTGTTGCGTTTCCGTCTACCTGAATGTTGGCCTCAGAGCCTGCGAAGTCAGGTGTGTACGATTCCCGGCCCTGGCTTCCCGTGAGCTCAGACCAGCCCTGTCCCCTCTGCACCACCATCGTCCCCGCTCCTGCACACAGCAAGAGAAGCTGCTAAGCTTCGGTGCCACGATTTACCAAAATGTAACGCCATCAGCCACTCCTGGTGCTCAGTGCTGCCAGGTCCTCACTGAAAAAAGAAACATCACAGCCACCTACAAAGCCACACAGGCAAGGAATCGCCACAGTCACCTTCCCACGAACAGTACCGGGCCACAAGCTCGGGCGTCGCCACGGCCCAGAGCCCTCCCCAGGCCTCTCCTGGTCTCGGCCATTTTGCCTTCCCTGCAGTAACTACAATCCTGAAAGCTCTGGTAAAAAATTTCACTGCCTCGCGATGGCTTTGTCACTTCAACATGCGCCGTGAAACGTTATAATTCTAGTTTTTCCCATTCTCTAAACTCTACGTTTGTGGAATTAAACAGTGCATTGTGTGCGTCCGTGTGTGTGTGTGTGTGTGTGTGTGTGTGTGTGCATGTGTGTGCATGTGTGCTCTTCTGGCTTCTCTCACTCCATGCTGTGTTTGTGAAACTCTTCCGTGTTGGTGCACAGGTCCGCCCGCCTTCATCCTCAGTGCACGGTCCTCCTTCCTACCAACAAGTCATAACTTCTTTTCACATTCTGTAATCACTGGGTGCTTAGGTTGTCTCCAGTTTAGGGCTGCTCTGAGGAATGCTGCTAACAACATTCCTGGGAATGCCTCTTGTGCCCACGAGCACATACTTCTGTTAGGATTTTCACCTGTACTGGACCCTCTGGTTGCAGAATACGGGAGGTGAGACCAGCTGGTTTTCCAGCTTGGCCATCGGTATAGAAACTCTCCCCAGCAGTGTGTGGGTCTGTGGAGCTGTCTATCTTTGGATTTTGGATTTATAAGAGTTCTTTTGCCTATAAGCCACTTGGGTATAGGAGTTGCAAGTATTGTCATCTATAAAATACTTTGATTTCCATTATTTAATGGCAACTTTTGACAAACAGACGTTCTTAATTTAATGTAATCCTTTTTATCAACCTTTGCCTTTGCTTCATGCTGTGTAAGGCAGGTTCTTCTCTCCGAAGACATTTTCCCATATTCATCCTATATTCATCGAGAAGCTTTATTATCATCGTTAAATGTTGTTCTGATGATTACTCGCTTTTCACACCTCAATCTATAGTTTATCTGAAGTTGGTTTTTACATGAGGTGAGTAGGGGCCGCTTTCCTGGGTTCCACACGAACATGCAATCTCCCCAGCATGGTTTGATATTAAAATAGAGGAAAATGGCAGGTGTTCTTGTCTTGTTCAGGATCTCCAAATGTCCAGGTTTGATATTAAATATGATGTGCACTCTTGATACCTGTCCCAATCTCGGTCCCATCAGACCAGATTAGAAACCACCAAGTAATTTAAACAGACAGTGTTTAACGGGAAGAATCATGCGGTCGTTGCAGAAGGCTGAGATGAAGAGGTAAAGACGATGCCCCAGGATCCCAGCGAGCTGGGAGCGGCTGGGGAACCCTGCTTGGAGGGCTCCCTTCCCAAGGCTGGCTGCCGCCCTCACCGAGACAAGCATCAGCTCCTGCTTGGTGGAGGAACCTGCTGCGGTGCCCGAGCGTGGGTCACAATGGTGCACCAGAGGACACACTCACTCCTCCTGGACCAGGCCACCCAGGGTTGGTGGGTGATGCATGAGAGGTGCCAGGGCTTGGCAGAGCCCCAGAAGTTAGTCACTGGGCCCAGGGGAGGAGTGTGGCGTACCGCTGTGCTGCCACCCCAGAGCAGAGCACACCAGCGTCCCCACGTCTCACCCCTCTGACCATTCGCAATAGGAGAAAGGAAGCACAAAGCTCTGCACCCTGAACCAGAAAAGAGGCCGCCCTCCCGCCGTGTCTCTCCAGCACCTTCTTTTGTCAAAGTCCCAAAGGAAAAAGGCTGGAAGAGCCCCACACGTCAGGTCCCCAGGCAGGTCCCGAGGGGTGAATTTGGAACTGAGAGGAATAAACTGATGACGGCGCCATGCCCTTCGCCAGGCCGAGTAGCTTTGCCTGTGTTCCTTGGCTGATCGAAGTATTTCTCACAAATGGATTTCAGATTTTATGAAATGATTTTTCTACATCTACTGAGCCCATGTGTTTTTTTTTCCATTGCTAGTGGGTTCAAGAATGTTAACACTTTTATTGAGGTAATATATATAAGATTTGTCATGTTTTTATCCACTTTTGTAGTTGTTTTATCCACTTTGTAGTGTTATTAAGTAATATACACTGTCACTATTATTAGTCCTAAATATTTTCATGACCCCAAGGAAGAAAGTCTCTCATTAGGTAATAACTCTCCATTCCTTCTGCCAGGCACTCACAGCCTATAACCTGCTTCCTACCCGTGAGTTGCTCTATTCTAGATATTTCACAAAAGTAGAGTGATACACCTTTGTCCAATAGAGTCTAGCTTATGTCATTCAGCATAATCTGTCAAGGTCCCTCTATGCTGCAGTGATTCAGGACATTCTGTTTTTGTGCGACAGAATAATGGTCCATTCTGCATCCAAGTTTTGTTTACCCACAATGGAGGTTAATTTTGTGTCTTTCCACTGTGGTGGAAAATTTTATGTGTCAACTTGACTGGGCTATGGGATGCCTGGGCGTCTGGTTAGACATTGTTTCTGGATGTGTCTAGCAGGGTGTTTCCAGGAGGAGTTAGTGTTTAAGTCAACAGCAGGTGGGCATTACCCTGTGTATTGAGGGCCAGGACAGAACAGACAGACGGGGGTGGGACTCACTCCCCGAGGCCGGACTGCTTGAGCTGGAGCACGGACCTTCCCCTGCTGGCGATGCTCTGCTTCCCAGTCCTCAGACCTGCATCGGAGTCTACACCATCAGATCTCCAGCTCTGAGATCTTTGAGCTGCAGCACAGGCTTCCCCGGGTCTCCAGGCAGAATCTGACAGCAGACTGTGGGAATTTTCAGTCTCTACAAGGGCAGGAGACAATAACCTTGGGGTTTTTTTTCTTATTTTTAATTTTTGTGTTTATGAGCCCCTGTTTGCAGCACATAACAATTACATTCATCGTGGGGACTTGGTCCATGTACGTGACAGTTTAATTCCTTTCACATCCCCTCCCCTCTCTTCTTCTCAGTCTCACATACAGGCCTACACACACACACACACACACACACACACACACACACATACACACACACACACACACTGCTGTTTCTCAGCAGAATACTTACTAACACTGTGATTCATCCGTTGGTGACACTGGGCTGCCTCTTCCTTTTGGCTACAATGGATAATCCTGCTACGCGGTGCGTCAGTCTGTTTTCCCTGGTTTCGGATACACACCTAGGAGGAGAGTTGCTTGGCTACGTGGCAGTTCTGTTTCTAACCCTGAGGAACCACCCTGCTCCTTCCCGGCAATGCTGGACCACTCGGCTGTCCCATAGCCACAAAGGAGATATCCGACCAAACTGGGGGCAAGGGTGGAAAAGGCCGCTTTGTGCAAACAGCAACCAAAGTCAGGGTGTCTACTCAGAACAGACACTATTCGGCACGCTTCAGGCAAATTAAAAACCTTCATCCTTTGAGCCCTGTAAGGCTTCCAGAAGGGCCGCTGGGCCGCTCTGCAGAACCGGGCAGCCCCAGGCAGGGGCAAGTAGACGGAGCCCAGCTCACCTCTCCACACCATTACCTTTACGAAGAACAGGGCCTCGCCCGCTGCTCTCACGGCCCCCAGGCAGCTGCTTCTTAGCCTTGGAGGAGCTCTTCCAGCTGCACTCGCTGGCAGGGCCGGTCCTCGTCTTCCCGAGAGGAAGCTGGTTGGCGGCGGCTGCTGCCACTTCCCAGTGTGTCCCCCAAGGCGACAGTCTGTCTTCGGTCTTCCCAGTCTGGTCACTCACGTTCCCATAGTGCTCCTCTCTGCAAGCCTCACCCTACATTTCCTGCCACCTTCTGTTCATTGCTTCCCTTCTCTGGACAGGAAGCCCAGAGTTTCTGCTCCACTTCTGGCCTCTGAGGATAGAGGGACACGGAGGACATCCGGGGAGGGAAGGTAAACAGAAGTGTTTTTGTCCGTTGCTTCTATGTGGCTTTCTTAGGCGCACGTGAAACTGCAGCTTGCGAGCCCCTAAATCCTTGTCTGAATTACTCTTGTAGTTGCCCCATGTTTTCCCCTCCGTCCATTGCGTCTCTGCCGCTTTAGCCCGCTGCTTTTCCAATTCCTTGTAAAGCAAGTATAATTTCAGCGCTTCCGAGGGGTGTTTGGGTGGATGGGTGGTTTTGGTAGAGGAACACCAAGTGTCTCACGTGTGAGCTCCACGCATGACCTAGAGCACAGCATGGGAAGAAAGGGAAACAACTCGATTGCCTAAATATATGAAAAGCTCTTTCCGGGACAGGCTGGAAATTGTTGTAGGTCATGTTGTCTCTAGGAAAACCTCGCTCTTCCTGAGTGCCTTAGACCACCTGGTCCCCGAGGATTGTTCGTTGTCCTTGAAAGGGGTGTGGACGTCCATCTTTCTGTTATCTGGGGGATGTCTCGGAGGCCTCCCCTCCCCGCAGGCCACGTTCACTGGGACAGAGGCTGAGCCGCGGGCAGCCGGCTTTCTCCCCTGGTGGCTGCTTCAGAGCCACCTGTGTGTCCTGCTGGGCAGTGAGCTCACACCTGCATAGCCTCCGCAGTCACATGGTCTGTGCGTTGCACGCCCATTCGGGATGAAGCTATGGCCCCGTGTTGGACGGCCCACTGAGTCCAGAACAGAGGCAAAGGGAGATTTTCAAAGGAAAAGAACCCTACGACCAGCTTCTCTGTAAGGAGGGGCAGAGGACCACACCCCCCAGCACTGCTTGAAGTCCAGCGTGGCTGTGAAAGGGCTGACGCTGTCCTTCCCTCCCGGCTGGGAGGTAATCATCATATTTAGCTCACAGACAGCAGTCTTCTTTCCGAGGCTGTAATTTCCTCTAACTCTCCCCCAAAGTCTTCACAAGTTTCTCACATGCCTCAGACTCTCCTGTGCACCGTTGCCTGGACAAATTGAGGGCAGCCCAGGAGGCAGACACCTCACACCTCAGCCCTGCCCCCTCACTCAGGGTTGTCCTTTAGAGCGAGGACAAGAGGCCCGGGGTGCAGGTGCTGGTGGGCAGGTCCAGAAGCCCTGCAGTGCCAAGGGAGACGGGGAAGACTATGACCGCAGAGGGAGAACCACACCGAGTACCCCTCCCCCAGATGTATTAGAGAGGGCATCTCAGTGTGTGTACTGTTGCTGCTACAAAATACTGGAGACTGAGATTTATAAAGAAAAACGTTTTATCTGGTTCAGTACTCTGGAGGGACACAGGCACGGCACCAGGCTTTTCTAAGCTTCTGGTGAGAACATCGTGGCAGGTGGCATCGAATGACAGAAGTGTGTGCAAGAGTAGAAAGCAGGTATATATACAAGGGACAAAACCCCACAACCTGGCTTCACAACAACCCATTTTAGCCCAGTCCCCGAGGGCCAGCCCACTCCTGAGACCTAACTCAGTCTTGAGAAAGCCATTAATCCATTCGTGAAGATGGGGCCGCCATAACCTAACTCTCTCAAAGTCTCCCCCACCTCGCAGTGCTGACTCCCCTCAGTTTTGGAGGGAGCAAAAATCATGCAGACTCCCCAGATTCTGTCTGGAGCTTTCTTTCCTGTTCTCCTGCTTTCCTGGGGGCCCCCTCTCTCCTCTTTACCGCACCGTCTCCTCACGTGGCTCTCTGTGTGCCCCGGGGGAACCTCTCTCCGTTATCATTCCTCCCACATTCTCTCCGGAAGTCTCGGATCTGTGATCTACGAGGTGACTCTGGAGACATACTGCCCACACCCGAAAGGCCACAGTGGTTTGCCTTGCTGCTCAGCCGTCCTGTCCACACCAGCATCTCCTATTTCCTGTTTTTATTCCTCTTTATTTTCTTTCCTCTTTTCATTTTCTTTGGTTGTGCTGATACGTTGCTCGGTCTCAGAGTGGGGTCCGTGTCTCCTTTGGCTTCGTTAACCATTCGATGCCTGACCTCTGTCCAGCTTCCTTTTCAGTGACGCTGCCTCTTGACTCAGTTTCTCCATTCCCACGGCCACAGTCCTAAAATAACCCCCACTTCATGCTCTGCCCCTTGTTGCTGGCCTCTGTTTTTGCCTCTTCTGAGACTCTGCACATTCTCACCTGGTTAACATCTCCCTCAGCACTTGTTTATGTCACTCCTTGGTTAAAAGCCTTTGGTGGTTCTGTCACCTCCCTAGGAATAGCTAACCTCCCCGGCCTGGAATTAGAAATGCCCACAGTCAGCCCTCCCCTTGCTATGGTTTACAGGTGAGGCTTTTTGGAGGTGGCTGGATCACAGGCGTGTGAATGAAGATTAAGGGTGATTCTGGGATTAAGGGCGGGTGGTACTAAATTAGTCCACTGATTAGAAATTATATAACTCTGGGTGTGGATGAATGGATATACTGGAAACAGAAGTCCCACCATGGATGTGGGTGACACCACCCAAAAAGCTTATGTCCTGGATGGGATAACAGGGAGAGGCAGGCTCCCTGCTGCTGCTTCTGCTTCCTGCCTGCCCTGCCACGGGCTGTTTCTCCTCTGTGATGCCACTCTGCCATGCTGCCCTGCCTTGGAGCCAGCCAGCTATGGACTGAAACATCTGCAAACTGTGGGCTGCATAGACCTTTCCTCTAACCTGTAAGTGTCAATTACGTCTCAGCAATGAAAAAAGGAACTAAGACACTCCCTTCGCTGTTTCATCTCCCACTCGCCTTGCACAAGACAGATCATGCTTTTTCCTCCGCCGTCTCTCGTGGTTTTCTCATTGTGCGGTATGGTCTCTGCCTTCTTTGACCTTAGACACATCTTTCACAACCTCCAGCTTCAGTGCCACGCACAAACTGAGGCTGCTATGTCTATGACTGTAAACATCCATTGCACTCATGGTTGGCTGCTGCAGGGACAGATGTACTTATCTGATTTCTTCAAATGAATTAAGAGCTGGTGAGGGTTCGGTTGTGTTTCATCTGTGTGCGTTCTCCTCAGATCCTTACAGAGTGATAGACACACACCGCTCAGGCCGTGCTGGAGAGAGAGGCTGAGTGAGAGACTGTGGACATAGCTCCAATAAGAGAGCACTCAGAAAAGTTAGGATGAGGCACAAAACTCAAATCAGAAATTCCATTCGACGCAGCGAGGAAACAAGGAGATAGATCTTCTGTAAATGAGAAGAGGATCCAGAGAAGGAGGGAGAGGAAAGTAAAGAGAGTTAAGATGTATTATGTACCTGTACCGCCTCACAATGGATGTGATCGCTATCTGGATTGATGGATGTGACCACAAACATACTAATAAAAACAAAAATCAATAAAATACACAAAGGGAAGTCAAGAGAAGATATTCCTATATTTTCAATGAGAATTCAGTGGCAAATGTTAAAGCTGTTTAAAGATATATATGTATATGCTTGTTTAAAGTAATATATATATTTACCTTTTGGCTTTTGTATCTTTTGAGTTTGACCAAATTAGATTTGGACATGCAACTACAAGGAGAAGAACTGAATAGCCCCTCCCTGAACAAAATTTATCTTTCTTGCTGGTTGTATAATAAGGTCTGATGTGAGCTCAAAATGATTACAGTTTTCCAGTCAGTGATAGATCTTTTGCAAATACTATTAAGTTTGTCATTTTTCAAGCCATTTTTGCAAATCTGGCTTAATCTACTATGACCTATTAGAAAATGTGATTTTACTATGATTAGGTTTGTTCTTCCAGAATAGTGTAAATAAGGTTCTCTAAAAATACAAGTAGAAGAAAATGGTATTACCCAAAGCAGAGAAAAGGCTTTACCCTCTAATTTTACAGGATTGATATCATTTTTTGGTCTGCTCAAATGATACTGGTGTTTATGTCCAAAAACGCTCACACAGCAGGCAACAAAATGGCATGTTTTGACCTTAATTAAGTTTTGTTTGGCTTGGTTGATAGAAAGTAACTTTTGGTTGTAGAAAACAGTGTTTTCTTACTTCACATTAACCTTGAGGGTGTTTTGATGTCAGTGAGTACTTGGCTGGTTTTGCCAAATTCCTTGGAATCTGGAGAAAAAAATATCCATGAAACAGATTTTTTATTCATGACTTGATATTCAGTGCATTTGGCTGTATTATCTCTGCTTTTTCATTTTAATCAAAAAAGGATAAACACTAAGAAATATTCAGATACAAAGCTGAGCTCCACAAATTGAAGATCACCCAGGCATCTGTGTCTTTGTCTCTGCTTTTGTCTCTCTAGCGTCCACACACACACACACACACACACACACACACACACCAGCCATGCACACTCACACACGTACACATACAGGCACTTCCACTACCCCCCCCCATAACATTGGAGAACAAATCTTGGGCCCCACTGAGGGAGAGAGATGATTTGTGAATTATCTGAACTTTCTGAGATTACAAAGAAGCAAGGACCCTGGAAATGCTCATGATAACATCCGGGGAACTTTCCCAGACTGTGAAATTGAACAAACAGCATCCCTGGGTGCCGCGCCTCCCCTGGGTGCTCTGGGTCAGAGCTCAAGAAGGGCAGGACACTGATGCATGCCTGTTCCCAAGCCAGAGGACTCCTCTGGCTTGCTGGGCCTTGCTTATACAGCCAGCACCCCCAGAGGAACCCCCAGTCTTCCCTCCCAGGCCCCTCCACCAGGGACTGACGTGTACGGAGCATGGCCCCCTGGCTCTCCCAGCCCTTAGCAGTCTCTTTCCTAATTTCTCGCACACAGGCGCTGCCTCCAGTAACATCCTTGCACGTTAATCCCGCCCGCTTCTCTGCTGAGCTGGGCTGACGAAGCATCTTGTGTGTGCAGAGTGTTCTTCTGACAGTTGATGAACAGGCCTGTGCAGGGGAAGGGAAGGGCAGCTCCTGCTCCTTGCTGTTGGTGAGCTGAGCTGTGGGTGCACAGGTGTCATGTGAATGGTGCAAACCGACCCTCGGCAGGAGCTCAGTGAGTGTTTATGTTTCATTTATTCGATTCAATCAATTTTTCTTTCAAGTGTCCGTTTTACAAACCTCGATATCTGTAAGAGTATATTCAAACAGTGAATTATTTGGGTGCTGTCTTCATCATTTTCTTTGTCGGTGGGACAAAATACCCAACACCTGCAAATTAGAGGAGGAGAGGTTAATTTGGGCTCGCATTTCAGTGGTTTCAGTCCTTGCATGGTTGGCCTGGAGGAAGGGCCTGGGCAGAGGGAAACTGCTCACATTATGGTGGCCAGGAAGGATCCAGGAAGGGAGAAATCCCTTCCAGGCCATGCCCACAGACCACCCTCTTAACAGGAAGTTGGCCATAAGCCCCTAATCTAGTCACTGCCCAAACGCGCAAGGCACTGTGGGCCATTTTATCTAATTCATAACAGACAGTGACTGCAAACTAACTTTTCAAGAGTAAGGACCACAGACCGAGAAGGACACACAGAGAACCAGGCCAGGAGGTGCACAAATTTTGACCCACACTCTCAAAGAACAGTTTAATTAGGAAGACAAAATTTAAGAACACAGGACCATCCTTCAGAATGTAAGGCCTATAATTCAGCATGCAATACATAATTGTGTGGGCCTGACGGTAAGTGCAGAGAGCAGACAGAGACTAGGATGTTTCTATATTTGTAGGGTCATGCCCCAAATTCCCATCTGAAAAAGTATTCTGTCTGGATTGTGTTCGCAAAGATTCCTCCTCAGCCGGAGACTTTGTTTGTCTTGGTGAGTGCCCCGGGTCTGGTGTATATGTAGAGGGATTCTCTCTGGCATGCATCTGTCTCTGTGTTAACTCCAGGAGAGCTGACTGATGAAGTTAAAGACTGCAGCCCTCTTTGCCCAGGTCTGCTCCAAGGGTGCCGATTCATCTGAATTAGAGCCAGGAAAGGATGCGGCCAAATTGCCTCTTTTAAAGCTAAATAAATGAAAATGTAAAGAAGGTAAGTGACTCGTCCAAGGTGGCTATCTAAGTCTTTTTTCCTGTCACTGTAACAAAATGCCACAGACTGGTCATTTATAAAGGCAAGAAGTTTATTTAGCTTGCATTTCAAGAGGCCTGAAGTCCACACCTGACAAGTGCCCTGTGCTACATGCTGACAGGCTGGAAGAGGTGGCAGGACAGAGGGGCCAGACTGTCCCATTGCAACAGCAAGCAGAAACACCAAAAGGACATCCAGGATTTGGAGGCAGATTTATTTATGTTGATGATGGGCATTGATTGGGATCATCCCCAGAATATTAGGCCCTGATCTCTGATGGTCTAGAGCTTATATGGAATAAGCAAGCAGGAAGTACAGAGGCAGAATGGCTTGTCAGTTGGGGATTGGTTTATACAATGTGCATCACAGTGACCAGCTATGCATCATGGTGACCAACTGTTTCTAAGAGACAGGAGCAACTGGAACTGGAACAAGAACTGTTACCCGGGCAACTAAGAAACTGAAGTATACTGGCTGGGGGGAGCATTTCCTGTTACACCATGACAGCTCTCTTTGGTGGTAACTGTCTCAGTCCACCAGAGCTGCATCCCAGTGCTTCTTGGCATGGCCACACCAAGTTCAACAGAGTTTGGGAGGGGAAAACCATAGCAGGGCATTAGAGGGGATGCTTCGCTGGAAGTAGCAGGTGATATCACTTATTGCAAAGCAATAAATAAGTAGAATTTATTATAAGGATTCAGGTGAATTCCACACTTTTCTCTTGTTGCTGGGACAAAATATCCAATGCCCAGAATTAAGGAAAGAAAGGTTTATTTAGCTCACAGTTAATGGAAGTTTCAGTCCATTCTCAGTTGGCTCCCAGACAGAGTGGCATATGGCAGAGGGCAACAGTTCATGGTGGTAAAAGACAGCAAAAGCAACAAGAGCAGAAAGAGAGGAGCAGAAAGAGCAAGGCTCTTTCCCTCCCTCATATTGTATGAAGGCTGCCCACCCCAGGGCGGGTGTAACACTCACACTGGTAATCCCAGCATTGGACCGTGAATCAATCACAAACTCTAGAAGCCTGCCTCATGACTGCATAAGGCTTTGGGGGGACAGCTAGACACAAACCATAAAAGGGAGAAAGAAGTGTTTAATGGGTATGAAATATTTTTATGGGGAGAGGGAGAAAATTTTGAAAGCAGCTAGAGCTAGTGGTTGCACATTATAAATACATTAAATACCATTGAATCATTATTTTAAAATGGGTAATTATGTGTTATGTGAATTTCACCTCAATAATAATCATTTAAAGATCATGTAGGATAGTCAGTAGTCATTGCAGCCGTGTTCAGAACACATAAATGCATGTGTAGGTGAATAATTTAGAAAATCTGCAGTTGGATAAATAAACTCCTGGCTCCTCAAGGGCAGATCATGCCAGCGCGTCACTCAGGATGTCCCAGTCCTGTGCAGGCACTGAGCTGCCTGTTCAGCCAGGGGCTGGGACCTGTCCTCTTCCCTCCCAGCATTCCTGGGCCTCGCTAGGCTCCTTTCAGACTTGTCCTCATGTGACGGGCTGGGTGCTTTGGAGGCCCGAGGCTGGTGGCCTTCTGCTAGGTTTGTTCATGCTTCCCAGGGTGGTGAAGGACTTGCATTACATTCGCCCTGTGCTGCTGCTCACCCATGGTCCCCTCTTCCTTGTGAAGCTTGGTGACACAAGCCCAGCGGGCCAGAGAAAGGCCAGCACCTGCAGGAACAGACTTCCCTGGGAAGAAGAGCCACAGCTCATGGAGGAAGCAGAGCCCAAGCAGCTCTTCCCAGCCCTGTCACAGGGCCTCATGGGAGAATCATCAGACCCAGGCCTCAGGGGATCCAAGTGGCAGAAACCCTCTCCGCCAAGTAAGCAGCGAAACCTTCCAACCCCAAAATGCAAGCCTCTCTTGGCCCAGTAGATCACTTGCTATAAGGGCTCTCAGCGCTGGGGTCTCAGGCTAAAACGGCGTCCTCAGTTGAGACAAGTCCACGTATTTGGTTATACCCAGGACATCTGTCAGGACCCGGGTGGCCTTCAGGGCCTGCAGCCTATTTCAAGGTCAAGACCATCTCCTGAATTGATCAGTCAACCAGCTGCAGTCCTTCCTGGCCATTAGCATCCTCCCTTACTTGCTTTTCCCTCACCATCTCTGTTTAAGCAAATTTACAAAAGAAAAACACAGGAAATGCTAAGCTGTGTACATTCATTCACCCAGAAACTGTTTTGCCAATAAACAACTTTGCGTAGCTGCAGTGTGTCAATATTACTTTGTTCTACTTTTTCCCTTTGTATTTCACTGACCCGTTCTTTATCTGGACCTTCAGTAGCTAGGGGGATGGGACAAGGATGGGACAAGGCAGTGTTTCCCCTAAAATTATCCCAGTGGGTGTTATGGTTTGGGGTTATTTTGCAAGGACAAAATAATACAGGACACATAATTATAATACAGGACACATATTTTAGAAAATTATTTATAACAGTCACCTGAAGAATCATATACAAGAGAGTACAGGCAATATGTCCACACACTATAGACCAAGAATCCAGCTGAGGACCTGGATCCTGTGATGATATCCTGCATGAGTCCAGCTGAGGACCTAGAGCCCATGACAATGCCTCCCACCAGTCCAACTGGAGGCCTAGAGCCCATGACACATCTCGTGCAGGCTTGTTTCATGGATCTACACTGGGAAGGCCCAAAGGTCAGTGGTGGAATCTAGGAAGTCTGTGCCAGTGGGATGAAGGATCTGTGCTAGCAGGCTGAGGGATCTGCACTGGAGCCAGGAATCCTGAAAATTACCACAGCCATCCTCAACAACAGTGAGGTCCCAAGCTCCTCCAATGGCAAAGACAGCTGAGTTCCCATCAGGAAAGCCAATGCAGCAAGCTTCTCCCAGAGTCCAGCAGTGCACCATCTTCCCCTTCAGAGCCAGGAAGCGATGCTCAAAGTGAGGACCAGAGCTCCCCCAAAGTAAACCAAAGCTATTCTCAGTGCCAGCAAGGTCCTGAGCTCCTCGGAGGATGAAAACAGCTCAGTTTATCAGGAAAGCCAGCATGACAAGTTCTTCCAACAGAACCAACAGCTCCTTACAGTTTCCACCAGCTCCCAACAGCCTCTCTCAGCTCCCATCAGCCTCCAGAGCTTCATCTTAATCAGCAGCATTTCCATGAGTACTCTGATTTTCCAGGCTCCAACCAGAGTTTCCAATATAGTTTGCAGCATTCAAGGGCTGCCTCTTTGACCAGTCTCTCAAAAGATTTCCTAATTAATACCAAAGATTCTTGAGTCACATGGCCAGGCAACATCACAACAATAACCCCACTCTCCCAGTACCAATTTGTCTTAGTTACTTTTCTCTCGTTGCTGAGACAAAATACCCAACACCCAAAATTAAGGAGAGAAAGGTTTATTTAGCTTACAGTTTGTGGAGGCTTAGTCCATACTTGGCTGGCTTGAAGGCAGAGTGGCACATGGCACAGGGCAACAGTTCATGGCGGTGGAAGATAGCAAAAGCAGCAAGAGAAATGGGAGGAATGGCAGCAAGCAGCCTCTTTCTCTCCCTTACATATGCAAACTATCCACCCCAGGGCGGGTGTAGCACTCACACCCATGAATCAATCATAAACTCTAGAAGCCCGCCCCATGACTGCATGAGGCTTTGGGAGGACACCCAGAACCAAACTATAACAATGGGATAGCAAGATGGAGATTTCAGAGAAGAGGGGTCAGTGACCAGACACGTTGAAAGACTCAGTCAGATATCCTCTTTTGGGGCTGGGGATTTAGCTCAGCAGCAAAGCACCTGCCTGGCAAGCGCAAGGTTGTGAGTTCGGTTCCCAGTATCAGAGAAAAAAAAAAAAACAAAAAAAAAACAAGATATGCTCTTTTACCATGATGGTTCTCTAAATGTCAAGTTCTTAGTTGTCTTTTTTTTTTTTTTTTGTACAGGGAATTGAACTTGGGTCCTTGCGCTTGCCTGGCAGGCACTGTATCACTGAGCTAAATCCTTGGCCCCCATGGTGGTTCTCAGACCAGCCTGGAGCACAGGTTCTTCAGACGAGGATTCAAGGCATTCTCCAAATTCTTTTGAAGAAGATGTTCTTTCTGCAAGATATCTCCAACTGACTAACTTTGAAGAATAGTAGTATGCAAGGATTTCTGTTCCAGGCTTAAAGAATCTGAAACGCTGCACTCCCTTGCATATTTTAAGTTGATACTCAGAGTTTTTATGAGTTTGGTAGGTCCATGTATTGAATATCAAAAGTAACTCATACCCTTCACTAAAAAGTTTCCAATGGAATTTTAAAATAATAATTCAGGTCTCACCAATGTCCATTTGAAAACTGAACCAGATAGTTTTTCTTCTTTTACCTGTGTTTCCAATCAACTTTCTCAGTGTTTTTGTCCTCGTAATATAGTTACCCTTGAAAATGTTTCATTGTTTACCTACCTTAAAAAATAAACAAATGGAAAATGGAATTTTGCCATTTCAATATGATCGTAATAAGATAAGCATTAACTTTCTTTCAGATTGAACATTTATTGTAGTTACTATTTAGAACATTTATTATAATTATCATAATTTATATATTTAATATGATATAATTTATTATCAACCTTGTTTTACACGATTGACCACAACAACATAAACACATAACTGATTTAATATATGATACAACATCAAAGTCAGAATTGTATTAGAATTAAATTCCTAAATCAGATGCAACCTGATCAAACATTTCCTACTCGCTTATCAAAAAACAGACCATGCCAGAGGCTTAGTAATAGCTAGAATATTATTTATATCCTGCTAGTAGGAGGTAGCAATAGTTACCTTGTAAAATAAAGATTCACCTATTTGAGTGAGTATTTTGTACTTGCAAAAGCAGCTTTTAACCACTACTTTGAAAAATAGATATATCAATCTGAGAGAAATTATGTGAACAATTTTGTCTGTGGGTTTCAGCCAATGAATCATGAAAACTTTGGCAATCCCAGAAAACATTATGGTTGCACTGAAAATCAGCAGTGACGTTGACTTCTACCTCCTCAGCTATTTCAAAGTGTATTTCTTCTACGATGTGTCACACGCTAGGCATGAGAATATTAACAGCTAAGAAGAGCTGTATAAAACTAAGCTCTTCCTGATAATCAGTATCTTGAGACTCGTCTCTCTTGCTTTGCTCTTAGAAGATTCATTTCCAGGGGAAAAAATGGTGCAGTAGCTGCAGTGAGGAGAGCAGACCAGGACTCAGAGATGCCCTTCCCAATCAAGGGAATGGGTGTTTAAGATGAAAACCATCTGCCATTGAAAACTTAACCTCTCTTGGAAGCCCCCGGCTGGAAAATAATGGTAGAGAACTATGCACATTTAGCTTAAACTGTCACCATTCACATTCTTGAGCACCTGGAATAATTCCTATCTTTTACATTTGCAAAGAAATAATTTTTATGTACTGTGCCTCCCAGAGCACTGGAATATTGAGTGAGAAGTTAGAAAACAAACCTGCAGCTCTTATTATACATACTGTCACACCGTTGTCCTGAAAGATCGCACCAACTTTGAGCTGACCAAGCTCGGTGTTTACTCTCTTATTTGCTAGCTTTAGAGGTATTTTGGGATCTTGTAAAATTTTGTATTTGTATTCCTAAAGCTGTGGTTATGCATTGATTGATTTGTCGTATTTGCTTATGTGTAAGCGATCTGTCTGCTTTGATCCCGTATCAGGTGGAAGCCAGGTATTGATCTTCCGTATTTGCATTCCTCGGTGTGCTTGGAAGCCTTTTCTCGGCAATGTTTCCCCTTCACTCTGCACACCGGTTGTTGGCTTACCCTTGGCACATGGGGCGCCGGGTCTCATTATCAAAGGAAAAGCTGCCAGGGCCCAGCTGGTCTGACCTTGAGCCTCTTTGAAGTCTCAACAGAAGGCGCTGCGGTATGTATTCAGCACGGGGTTAGAGCCTTCAGCCCTGTCTGTCTGCAGAGTTAACTCCTGCCTCATATCCCATCACCCCTCCTTCCCAGGATATCTAGCGCAATATTCCAAGTCTGAGAGCTTTGTGTAACGAAGGAAGATGAGTCACACAAATTCTCAGTGCCTGCATTGCACTCAACCAAGCTTTTTGTTTTGGGGATTCTTTCACTCACCCAGTTCAGCCCTGCTCCCTGGGACTCAGAAGTGAGAACACCTACTGCCCACCACCCCCCAGCCCGCAGCCCCCTCCCACATGGATGCCCAGCCTTTGACTCACACCTGGGCTATGCCGGTCATTTTTTCTCGGTCTCCATCCTGGTAACAGAAACTGGAGAATGCGGAAAAGGAAGTTGGTTTTCTGTGCCCACAGTGGAGGCACAATTGGTTTGTGATCGGCAGATAAAGCTGAGTCGGGGCAGCACTCCAGGCTGGGGCCTCCCCACAGCAGGAAGTGGCTCTAAAACCTGGGGCAGGGCTCATGCTGTGCAGGAAGGAGACTCAGCATCCACCTAACCTGCCTTCTGGGTAGAGGCTAAGGAGTGCTGGGAAGGGGAGTGTCTCCATTCCCTCTGTCACCACTGGCAGTCTGCTTCCCCAGGGCAGGCTTCTGGCTCTGGGATATCAGTTCAGGAGCTGCCCAAAGCAGAGAAAGCTACTAACACTGGCCATGACGTGTCAGGCTCCTCAGATTCCATCCTCCTGCCCCCAACCATTTCCAAGCTCAAAGACCAATGCACCCCAAGGAAGAAAAACTGTTATGGCTTGTGTCTAGATGTCCCCCAAAGTGTCATGAGGTCATAGGTGGGGCTTTTTGGAGGTGGCTGGAGCTAGAGTGTGTGATGCTGGGATTAAGGGTATGCGATTACTAAATCAGTCCACTGATTGATTCGGCACTGCCCTAATCCCAGTGGCCTGGATACAATATAAAAGGGACAGAATGGTGGATATGGCTGGGCCATGGGTTCCAGTCTCTGGAGCACCGGGAATAAAGGAAACACAAAGGCTGCCTGCTTCCTGCATGCCAAGTCTTTGGCTTCCTCACTTAGTCTCAGTTATCACTGTGTTAAGGTTCTCTAGAGAAACCGAGTCTGTGCATGTATTACATTAATCAACTTCCTGGTAATGTAACGAAATACCTGAGATAATCGGCTTATAAAGAGGAAAGGTTTACTTGGCTCAGGGTTTTGGAGGGTCCAGTCCCTGACTGGTTGGCCCTGATGATTCAGGTCTGTTGTGGAATAACATGTCATGGTAGGGTGTGA